CCCCCGGGGGCCCCCCAAGGCCCCCAGCTCGCGCTTCAGAAAAGGCCAGGGGGCCCAAGTCGGCAAAGGGCTGGGGGCCCACCTTTTGAAGGGCCCAAGAAGGGGGGCCCTCCTGACGTCTGTGGCCTCCTTCAATTGCATGCGGGGCCTGACAGACACAGCAGCAGCACAGCACTGCAGCGTGCTGCTGCTGCTGCTGCAGCAGGGCTCTGGGCTAGCAGCAGCACTTCTAGAAGGGCTGCTGCAAAGCGCAATCAACTCCCTGAGGCAGCAGGGTCACTGTGCTGCTGCTGCTGCTGCTGCTGCTGCACATGCAGCCTCAAGAGCTGCGCGCCGGCCACGAAGAGTGCTTGTGTTGCTGCCGTGCTGCTGCTGACGCTACTAAGTTTGCTGCTACTGCTGCTTTGTCTCTGCTGCTCTTTAAAAGCTAACTTGTGGCTGCCAGCCAAAACATACCCTGAAAAGAAAACACCAAAAACGCATGCTTCCGGCTCCAGCCGCATTCCCCACGACTGCTGCAGCAGCCAGCAGCAGCAGCAAGCAGCAGCAGCAAGCAGCAGCAGCAGCACGCAGCGGCAAGGGCGGGAAGAAGTCGATAAAGCATGCAACAGAGAAGAGCAAAAGACCATTTAGTGAACAGTGGCAATGGCTGCTTCGCCCAGGTAGCTGCATGCATGCACTTGTGTTGCCGTTTGTAATGTGCTGCGAGAAGTGCTGCGGCAGAGCAGCAGCAGCAGCAGCACGCAGCTTACTGCAGCGGCGCAGGGCCAGCGGCCCGGGCAGCTCTCGGCAGCTTCCGCCTCCCTTGGCCCTGGGGGCCCCCCTTGAAAGCGCCCAGCAGGTGGGCCCCTTCCTCTCTTTCTTGAGCCGAATGGACTTCTTCTCCTGAACGGAAGAGTTACAAATCACGTGCGTTTCGCCTCAGCAGCTGCAGCAGCAGCAGCAGCAGCAGCAGTAGCAGCAACAGCAGACACACCCGACCGTCCCGAAGAGCCTCCCAGGGTCTGTCGAGGCTTCCAAGAGCCTCCGTGGGGCCCCGGGGCCCCCAAACCCTGAGAGGAAGCAGCAGCTTCTGCTGGGCGCGGCAGCAAACGGAAGCTTGGCCTGCAGCACAGGCAGCAGCAAAACGGACACCTGCTGCTGCGCTGCCGCACCCAACAGCGCCACTCTTCAGCTCCTGCAGCAGCTCTAGCAGCAGCAACCCCACACCCACGAACAGCAGCAACAGCTCAACAGCAGCAGCAGCAGCAACAACAGCAGCAGCATGCCAGCGAGCTGAGCACTCACTCGCAAAAGCACGAGCGAAAATAGGCTTCCCTTTCCTCATGATAGTCTAGCGCTGCAGGGGGCCCCGCATGCAACGCGGGGGCCCCAGGGGAAGCAGCAGCAGCAGCAGCAGCACGAGGAGGTGCTGTGTCGCCTTTGTAGGCCTTTGCTGCTTCAGCCTCTGCTGCGTGCTGCTGCAGCAAACTTCCTGGTTCCGCCCCGCCTCCCTCAGCCCCGCCCACATGCTGCACTTCTGCTGCAGCTGCTGCAGCAGACCCCATAGATTCAGCTGCCTGCGGTCCCCCATGGGGCCCCCCGGGGGCCCCCAGGGGGGCCCCCGCGGGGGCCCCCAGGGGGGCCCCTAGGGGGGCCCCCAGGGGGGCCCCCGTTTGGCCGGTGGGTTCAAGGGGTACAGAAGGGTGGAAGGGCCTCTGGCTTTTAACTGCATACTTCATTATCTCCTGGATCGTGTAGATTTTGTTTGTGTCTTTTGCTGCTGCCTCTGCTGCTGGCGCTAGGAGAGCCGCCGCTGCTGGGCTCGCTGCTGCTGCTGCTGCTGCTTCGCCGCTTGAGCTTGCCAGAGACGCTCTGCTGCTGCTGCTGTCCGCTCTGCTGCTGGTCTTCCTTGCATGCGGCTGTTTCCCGCGCTGCTGTTCCCCCGGCACCTCCCCCTGCTGTTGGTGTACCCCTTGCTGCTGCTGCTGCTGCATCACTTCTTGCTGCTGCTGGGCCTCCTGCTGTTGCTGCTGCCTGTCCGTGCCTCTTGCTGCCTCCGACGATTCACCTGTATTTGCTGCAGCCGCCTTGGCGGCCGTCTGCTGCTGCGGCGGCTCCTGCTGCTCTTCGTGCTGCCGGTGCTGCTGCCCCTGGGCTTTCCTGTGCAGCTGGCGCTGCTGCAGCAGCTGCTTGCCGTTCGCCGCCAACGGACCAGTGGTCACATCGTGGTCCTCCTCCGCCCGCTTGTCAGTGTTGGGCTCTTGAGCCTCTGCTGGCACTTCGCCGGAAGCAGCAAAAACCTCGGAGGCCGCAGGCAGCTGGTTTGCCTTTGAAGCTGCATGTCTTGAGCCCCCTGCAGCAGCAGCTGCTGCAGCAGCAGCAGCTGCTGCAGCAGCCTCCGCCCCGTTCTGGATGTCCGCCGACGTCCATCCGCAGGAGGCCCTTCCTGCCGCTGCCGCTGCTGCTGCTGCTGCGGGTGCGGTTGAGGCCGTGGAAGACTCAGCCTCTGCTGGCTCCGGAGAAGCAGCTTGCTGCTGCAGAGCCTCGGGAGGGCCGCAGCTGGGCTCCATTTTGCTGCTGCGGCTGCCGAGCGCTGTGGCGAGGGAGTTGAACGACAGCTGCGAGATGAACGTGTCTCTACACCCCGCCTGCTGTGCAGCTTTCTGGTCTACATTATTGAGCAGTGCGAGCCAGCTGCGGCGCTGCAAAGGCGGCTCAAATGCCTCCACTTCGCGGGCAAAGCCAGACTTGAACAGGCCACCTGTGCACGCGCGGCAGAGCCCCAAGAACCAACGCCCCGACCGAGTACACACCTTTTTCTGCTTGTCTCCACACCAAAAAGCCCCCAAGCAGTAACGCGGAACAAGTCTTCAACAGGAAAGCTGCGCGAAAGAAGCGCCGCTATGCCGGCTGGGTGCCTCCGGTGGCTCGCATGCGGGGTGGCGGGCTTTGGTCGCTGCTGCAACTTCGCCGAAATACTCCATTATGCACAAAACCGATTGAATTTCCGTGTTTGTTTCAAATAAGACAAGTAAAATTCCTTTCGATCACTGCGTAGGGCAGGAAACGGAGGGCAGCTGCTCCAATTTGCTAGTCGTTTCAGTCCGCTGGGCACTGAACTAGGAAGAAGCGAGGACGCGAAAATATAGCTTAGTCCATCTTCCTTGAATTGGCAGAACTTTTGCCCATTTTACCTACTCTTTTTGATGAGTTAAAGCACTGAATAACTCCAACTTCACGGTGTAGAGGCCTGATGTGTCTGATGTGCTGCCCGGGTATAGTTGGAGTTTTGTACTGCCAGTGCCCCAGCCGCCAGAATGTAGAAAGATGAGGCATTAAGGGCCAAAATCCCTGATAGCCTTTTGCACTTGCATTCGAAAAACACTTTTAACATTCTAGAAAATAAAACCAGTGCTAAGTGGCCTGCGGGCTGAGGCTCTTCGACAGAAAAGCCCTTAATGAGTTGAACCTGCTCAGTTTCCAATGTGGATCTCTGAACTAAAGCGGCGATGGCCCAAAAACTATCTCACCTTGAAAGCGGGGCCAAAGAGGTAGTCTGCAGGTGTTTCCTTCATTCATTTTCTCATTTCTTGTTCACGGAATTCAAAGAAAGATTCTTGTCAGCCTGATTCCAGCCACGGAAGTTGGCGCATGAAGTACTTCATGCGCCTTATTCAACTTCCGCTGCGGAAAACTTTGCCTAATTACTTGCTACCGCACGGTTGTGCAAGTGTTTGTATTTATTGTTAATACATCCAACAACAGTTAGCACTTATTGTCAGCACAGCCGTAAAGCATGAATATTGTGTCACTACTGGTTCACTGGGGCTGGAAATGTGCAGTAGGGCACTGCAATTAAGCGCTAGTCCTGCTTTGGGACGCAAAAAAAGCAACTTGAAATATGGGAAAGGACTATTTGGTGAAAAAATAAGGAATTCTTCTGGATTCCAGACCATGCATGCGCCACTGCAAAGCTCGCGTTTGGAGCTAACAGTAGTCTGTGCACATAACAGGCACAGACGCACAGAATGGAACTCACAGCTAGTTAGTTGAGTAGCAGAGCCCCTTGCCTTGTCCGCCAAAATGTCGTGCTTTTGTTTAATAAACTGGAACCCCCGAAGATCTTGTAGTTGCACCTTAATTATCCGGTGCAGCAATACATGTGGGAGCCAAGCAGGGCGTACCTTCGTCCAACAGCGCGAAGCTTAGTTCAGGGCTTCGCTCACTACACCCGTGGAGGTTTTGTCAGTGCTCAACAAGCACAGATTGAAACTTTTGGCAGAATCACATTCAGGGATTGGGCCAGGCGCGCTGTTGCACCGACTTTTAGGCGAAGATACTAGTTGCAGTCCGCGCGCCCGACGCTTACAAGATGGCGAGTTCCAACACAGGCAACCAGTAAAGCGATGTAAGAAAAATGTAAATTGCTTTTGATCCCAACACAAAAAGGCCTGAAGAAGGTCCCAGGGGCCAAACTAATATCGAAAGGTGTGCTGCTAGGCCCAGGGATCGAGGCTGGAAAGAAGCAATAAAACTGCAATGCACAGAACGCCGACGCAGCCAGCAAGGAATATCACGGGAAGGCAAGAGAATTTCGAGGAAAGAGGACATGCGATGATGTTGATTAGGTTTTTCAATGTTTAACAAGTGCCTTCAGTTAGTAGTGACAGATGCGAGCTTGCGTCGCTAGCAGGAGCTGAGCTGAGCGTGCTCTATTACAAAATTGTTGCAGCTGTTCTGTGTTTATCTTGTGAGTCTGTTGCAGCGTATCTTGCTGCAGGTGTGATTCAGGGCATTGCCTCGTGCATGTCGACCGCTACTACGAAAGCTGCTTGCCGTGAATTTCGCGCTTTCTTCTCGGGCTGTTGCCAGCTGCTCCAGCCTCAGCACAGTCTTCTACTGTAGATCTACACTTCCTGCTACAAAGCACGACAAATCCGTTACCCTAGCTCGCTTGTATACAGCAGAAACGTTTGTGTTATGATCTGATTTGTTGTAACTTTTCCTTGTTTGGAGCTTGGCTTCTTTCAGCTGTATTCCAAACTCAAACTTCGAAGGTTTTTTGTGGCATTTTCTTGGGCCTTTGGCATCATTCGGAACAATTCCAATGCTTGTAATGTCTTATAACATCGCTGAGTTGTACAACAGCATCTCTTCTCTCCTTTTCTCCGCTCTTTGATTGTCTTCAGCCATGTCTGAAATGCAGGACCTCCGCGCTTGACTGGGTCTTGCTAGTTCTGGTCGCAGTGGGTTCTCACCATTATTGTGGGTATTCATTTCACCTTAATTTACCTGAATTCGTTTCCTTTTCGTCATCTTTAGGCTAATTTAACTCTAATTCTATTTCAAGATAGTTCAATCTCTCGTTGCTGTTCTCCTGATCGTTACTGGCTGTTAGCTCTAGCCAATCTAGTACGCCTCCCTTTCTCCCTGTATATCCATACTTGCGCATTCAATAACTCCTCATGAAGCCATTTATTTTCCCTTTATCGTTTTCCCCCCCAATGATTTGTTTTTGGACAGATATTACTGTATTCATTCACTGTACTGTTTTAACTACGCTATTTTCCTTCTTTACCTCGTTAACACAAGATAAATCCTTTTTTCTCTCATTCATTCCTTCTCCTGAGTTATTTTCCTGTTTATTGTTGCCTGTTCATTTATTCACTAAAACGTTTGTCGTTACTGTTTTTATGTTTTGACGTTCTTATCTTCTTTTTTTTCAAAAATTGAAGCTGCTTCTCTTCTCTCTCGTTGTTCTTTGTTCTGCTTCATTAGCTTCATGCACTTCAAGACTTCTAGTGTTATCTTTGGTAGTACAGCTATCAGTAGTATTGTTTTCTAATTCTAGTGCATTGCCACATCTTATATTACCTTTCTCACATGAAGAATGCATTAATTGTGTGGTTTACTTTCTAAGCAGGGCGCGCCTGCATGGAAGCTGCGTGCAGCTAGGCATTCACAAGGTGGTGTGAACGTGCACTTTCCCGGTCACGCTACTTCCCTCTTTCGCGCAGCTGCCACTGGATTTTGGCCGCTGGGTGAGCTTTAAAGCTCTGTCATACTAATGATCGGTAGACGGCAACAAAGGTGGCGCATAGAGTACTGGGAGGCGGGAAACACTTAAGCCTACGAAGTCATTCGTAGAGGGAGAGTATCGGAAAAAGTGATGAGAAAACTAGGCTTAGGAAGCGGCAGATAACCACTGGGTGCGGCAGCCCCATGCTCATAGTGAGGCAGGGCAGTTGGTGAGATGTTCAGCACCTCCCCACGTAAGGTGGTCCTCAGAGATGCCCCGCCATTCCCCTAGGTGCTGTATCTCGTTGCCTGTGCGCCTTTTATTCAAGTTGTACTGAGACTTTCCCTGATGAATCGAATTTCCTGCTGCGTCTGGCATAGGAAGCTAATTGATAGCGGCTTCTTTGGCAGCCGTGTTACTGTCACGGGGAGGATGTGGGACAAGCGCGAAAACATGAGAAACCTCATGGTAAGATTTTTGCCGGCAGCAGCCCCAAAGAGTGAGCCACAATGTTGATGCGCTCTCTGATAGTGAAGGGGCCACGGTGAGGCCACTCAACCTGTGGCCATAGCAGGTAAGTGCTTGCTGCTGAGCCACACCCTTTCCTCTGTAACATGCTGGCTGGCTAGCTTCAGAGAGAATTTGATGGAGAGTGGGCAGAAGTAAAGGTGTATGCAGCTGAGGAAGTTAATAAGTAATCGGATAGCACGTGGTGCTGTTTGTCGTTTGAAAATTCATACTGCATTCAACAAGGATCAAAACATTTTGTCCAATGATTCCGTTAGATGAAGGCAGGCAATGAAGAAGATACTCATCTCAAGATGAATGTTATTTCTGTTTGGCGCTTCGTTTGTGCACAGCGGGACTTTCGTGAAATTGTTTAGGGCTGAATTAAACGCTAAAGGGGCAAGCTTTTAATACTCCATACCACGTGCAAGAATGCTAATTTTTGCCAATGGGAAGCCGGGTGTGCAACTAAGCAGCAAAAAAATCTGACATCTATTTGCTTGCCGGTCGGCAGAGATCTCCGTATTCTTGATATGATGCAGAACACCCGTTGGAAGCATTTTACACTGATCACAAAATTTCTCATGTTTAATGGGTAACGTAAGTAGCATGCTGTCCTTGTTTTGTCGAAAAGCCCCAGTGAAATGAGGCAAAACAAAAGTGACTAAAGGCCGCGCTCCAAACAGTTAATTGGCATTTCGAAGCTGTTGAAGCTTATTACGCTACAACTAAGTGTTTTTGCGTGTGGGAAAATGCTTCCGTTTTTGCCCTAGAGTAGTGCAAGCCAGGTTGCCTGCGCAGGGAAGTGCAATAGTCAAGTCGAAAATACGGCCACAAAATTGTGAAGAGATACTTCCCGCATACAAAGTTACTCAGAAATTATCCATTCATGGGCAGGCAAATGGTAAATGATACGAAGGAAGTAGAAGAAGGCAAAGCGCTCAAGTGGGAAGCAAGGCTAGCCTTCCCACCGGGGCGAAATTTCTCGTTTCTTTTTTTTATGTTGGTACCGTCACGTTCCTTGAAGATGCCGCAAAGTCTATGTTACTCATTTAAACGCTTCCTGTGTCTTTGCCTGAGGCCTCTGCTAAGTGCATCATCTGTCGTATCACACCCAACACATACATACGTAAAATTGCTTCACTTGCTCGGGGGCCAAATGCGCCTCAGATCTCCTTCGGCAAACTCACACGTAAACTTTACCCAATATTCATCACTATAGTATAAGAAAAAGGCTGGTTTTACCGGAGTTTTCTCTCCCTTTGCGTTGTGCATGGCACTGTACGGTCATTAGGCGGGATTCTGCTAAGAACTTTTCGTCATTGTGCAGGGACTAAACGCGACTTCTTTCATATATTTTAGTATCATGCTGAAGTAAATCATTTCTTTTAGGAGCAAGTGGGGTAAAATTTATGTTCCCTCGGCATGATGTAGCCCTTTTGGCAATGCTCGCGAGCAGCCTGCAACTGGCAGGAGCACTGCTAACGGAACAGATTCTACACAGCGACATTTAAAGAAATTGACGCACACGTAATTTCCAACTGTTTTCATTGCATCTAGGCCTCTGTGTGCAGTACGGCAGCTGAACTCATTTTGGTCAAACCAAGCGTAGGGTGACCTGACACACCCCACAGAATTCGTGACAAACTCCCGAGGCAATTCTATGTTACTACAATCGTGGAATTGTGAAACTTTCGTGTTTTAAACCTTGACTGTTGTAATGCTTCTGCCGAGGTCGCCTTCAGGTTTGGCTTCAAAAGGACTAATCAATTTCCCGCCTTTCTTCTGAGGATAATGAAATCGTGCTCGCGTCACACGCAAAGGCGATGGAGCAGAAACCTGCATCTTACATAACATGAGCAGAAAAACCCAATATTTTCAAATTTTATTGCATGGAAGAAGTATACAGTTCCCCAACTTGCTCCTGCGCCATGGTTTGCTGAGGACAACACTGAAGTGCCTCTACGATTCTTACCAAGTTAGATTGACTGTGCTGCTTCTAAGTATCGTGGTTTTCCTGTTTCTCTTTGAATAAGTTCAAGAATAATCCTGGCCTTAAAATTGCGCGTCGTGCGAGGTAAAAAGTTTTAGCGAGTGGCTCAATGAATAGGCTGCCATCTAGCAACTTCTCAACACCATTTCAACGTGCTCCATCCGCCAAGGGCAAAACTTTTCTAGTCATTATCAACTGATACTTTTGCCGTTCCTGCATGCTTTTTCTGCAAAGCCGACCTCTCTCTGCGGGCCCGCTAGACCTTTTGGCCGTGAATCGTGACCCGGCCTTCATAATCTAAATCTATTCTCAGCAAAAACGATTGTCCTTGTACCAACCAGGCACACATTCAGGCCTTTCACCAGCTCTCAGCTGCTCTATCATAGTTAGTTGGGTCTCGACTTTGAAACAAAAGTTCGGCAACTGTTTCCAACAATTACCATTGACTGGGACAGGCCGGTAAATATGCCACAAAGGATAGCAGCCGGCTTGATAGGAAGGCACTAGCCGCTTCCTTCCTAAAACGCCCTTCACCTTAGAACCCATAGTACCCACGCAGCGACTGATCAGAGTATAGTGCCACGGAATTATTCTACAGCCCACTTGACTGGTTGGCCAAGAAGATGTATTCACGCATTTGACTGCGACGCTGGCCATAGCCTGTCTGCACAGGAGCCCTCGTATGCAGAAGCTCACGGGTACTGTCCCACCAACAGTTGAACCAGCCGGTTAACGATGCGAAAATTTAGTAACGCACATGCGTACTTTACTGCAGAATCAGATGGCGCTCGGGAAAGTATGAAGGTCTGCCAAAAGCCCCTTTCTTGACGGGCTGGTTCTTGACATGTCCATATGCTGAATTGAATCCGCACAGTCCACAGCGTGATGATGAAAATTTTGCGTCTCTCCGTGGAGATTTCACACGGCATTATGATCGCCAAACGAAGAAATACTTCACTCCCGAAGCCCCTCATTCACGAGCTACGACTCGTTCGTCCGTGGCAATCCTGCCAGCAGAACTGCATCTTTATCTGCCTCGCTCTACATGATGCATTATCACAGAAGTGTTGTTTGTCATGAACGCCCTTGAAACAGCATGTCGTCTGTCCGCCATATGCTCCAGGCAACTCTACGGAAACCCGAGGGAGAATCCGGCAAACACAACAGTCTTCTTTTGAGGTCGATAATCCTCTCCGCAGAGGGCTCATCGCCCACCCTGTACATTTCCATTGCCTCAATCAAATCTCTTGACAAAATAATATAACGTTCAGACCAGCGTCCAAAACTTCTGCGGAACCGTTTGCTGTAACTCGATGGCAGAAGGGCAAAGACCGATTTGTACCATACATTATTAGCCACATGGTCTCCTAAAAGTTTCGCAACTGAGTGCAGCGCCTGCAAGACTAAGAAGCGACGTCCCAAAACTTCAACTGCAGAAGACGGGTTCAAATTATCGACAGACAATGCTATGAGTTGTGCTGCTTGCCTCAACATTGTTGCCTCGCACTTCAAGAGCTCGATCACCTCTATTTTGTTGAGAATAGGCTTCATTAGAAAGCTTCGGACAATCTTGAGGGAGTGAGCAAGAAGCGGAGATCTTCCTCGTAGGTTTAGCGCCCTCAAATCTGGCAAATCCTTGTCTGCTCCTGGCTCCAACAAAGGAAGGCGAACAAAAGGATGCGCATCGCGTGAAGTCCTACCAACGGGTATCCCACGATGCGGCCTGCTTTCACTTGATGATGAAGACGAAGCCTCCTCTTCTATGGCTTGCAAGTAACTTCTCGGTTTAGCTGTCGTGGGGTCGCTACATGACTGACGTAGGGGTTTGTGAGCTGCTCCACCCGTATCTGTGCCATGCTCTGTCGACGTCGGACAGCAATGCGCACTGTGTCGCCTTTGTGGTTGAGAGCCCTGTCCTTTTCTAAGCTGCGTTAGCAGTGCTAAGTTGCCTTCCGACTGAGTCTCGAGGCTCGCGTGTGAACTTCCCGAAGACTCTGGGGGCACGGACAGAATACCCACAGGACATCGATATGAACAGAAGTCTAGGCTGGCACTGTCAGAATCCATATCTTCATCAGTAGAAAGAGGCTCTTCGCTTCCGTGCGCATGCCCGTTTACGATGGGAAGCCGGTGTGTAGACTGGAAACCCTCATAGGGGTTCACCCCAGATGTGGAAGATTCGTCAGCAGGCGCCACAGTTAGTGACTCAAAAACCATTTCCACAATTGCAGGCGATGCTCGCCCCCCTCCAAAAAGGGGTTCAATCGGCTTCCATTCCCCCATTTCAAGGCAAAGCTCCGCCAGTTCGTCTGCATCAAGTTCAACCCCTGCGGGGCCACCCATACTCCCAAGCCTTCGCACTGCCAAACCACTTCCCGTCGCATTCTGACCAATACGGCTACACAGTGATACAACAACCAAAAGCCCTAGTACATAGGCGAGAAACAGCCAAGTTGAGGAACGCGAGACTCTACTGCGTTTCCGGTGAAACCCGCTGCACGGTGCCGGTGCGGGCACAGCAGTGTCATTAAGCACTTCCGTAGAGGAAGAGTTGCTCACATGCGTATCAGTCAAATCTACTTGATGTATGACAGGATCCAGTAAATCTGCCTGTTGAATTCTGCGCGCGTGGGTTTCGTGCTCTGCCGCGAGGTCCATCATCAGCTCCTTGCACGGAAGACCTCCTGTTTCATATACCGGAAGCCTCTCCTGTGCGCTGAGACTAGCTTTCACTTAACTAAAAAAAGCCAAATCACACTCTGCATTAACGCGGTTCGGTTCTTCTTCAACGCGCTCACGGATCAAGGCATGGTTCTGCCCCAGTGTCGTTCTCAAGGGGGAATTCCTCCAAAGACGCCGCAGCTGCGTCGCACCTCTTCATCCACAGAGCAACGATATCCAAACATTAACCTATAAGAAACAATGTTGCCCAAAAGAGGGGCTTTCTACACCGCTGTCCAATGACAGCGTCTCGATGCTTCGAGGAGCACACTGTTCAGGGCTTTGGAGGCTTTGGAGTGCCAGTATTATTGCCCCTCCACTCAACAGTGAATATCTTAAGATCATGAATTTACACAAGGTTGCCTTCTCTACTTTGTCTATGTTGTGAGTTCCGTCTGCCGGTGAATTTAGCCGGTGTAATGCCCCTGTAAATGACTGCTATTTGCTGTCACGCCTACTCACGCAGCCCACCTTGGGTCGATACGATTGCTTAAAACCTGTGACGCTACGCATGACTGACTGTTGTGTCTCCATTTTGCCGTGACGTAGCTGCACATACGCAGGGCTAAAGGCGGGAAGTGGAGACAAGGCTCATATTGTGCTGGCAACTCTGTGGAGGGGAAGTAACCGCAGGGGTAAGTGGACAAATGCGTTCCGTTGCTATCTTTCCGAGCCAAGGCGTGACTCCAAGCTGACTTCTTGGCCCAAACACGAACTCACACTTATTTTATTTTTTATTGTGTTTGTCGTGGCACCACTTTTGTCTTCCAAAGATCGCAACACGAGCTGCCAGTCGGAGGAACGTGTTCTGATTAGCAGACTTCATTCCAACGAAGCAACCGTAGGTTGGAAAGAAGTAGGAATGTACTCCTTGTCGTAACATTTTCACGAGATTGATCTCTGCGGTGTTTAGCAGTGAGCTGGACGCTCGGTACAGCAACGAGCAGCGAGTCGTAACTTGGCGAACGCGATGCAGGGGCGCAAAGAGCATGTTTACCTGGTGAGATATACGGAAATCTCGGAGAGACGGAGGCAGAGGACTCCTGCAGAGAAAGCAGGCTAATGTAAAGGGCATTGTGGGCTGTAATGCGCGCTGACTCTTCATTGTGGGGAAGGCAGCATCAAGCCATAGAGCGCAAGCGTTCGATTGCTGAGTCCTCTTCGCCATAGTATATGTAGACCCTACTGTATTCCTATTATTTTTGTGAGTTTGGGGCATCGCCAGACACTAGATATCTTTGCTGGCTCGGGTACTAGTGGACCGCTGGTCCCACGACGGCGCGAGTGTGTTGCGTCTACACAAACCACTGCTTTGCGACTCCGCCACTCAAAATGTTCGTTTACGTCTACATGTAGTAGAATGTTTTCATGAAAGCACATATGCGCCGACTGGGTGACGCTTTCCGCTCTCTCTGAGCAGTATTTGGGGTTACTAGTTTAGAGTTTAGGCAAGAAAGGCCGGGTCTGAAAAGTAAGCAGGCACAAGCACACCCGTTCAGCTATTTAGAAATCGCCATTCCACTGCCTGAAGCAGGATTTTATTGTTCTTCGTAATTCAGCAGAGCCTTCCTTTATGCATTCTGGTGCTTCCACCGAACTGTGCGAAGCACTTAGCGTGGACCGAACGCTCTACACAAGCCTCTGAACATTAAGTATCTTGGCATTGTTCTTGATTTGCCACTCACCATCGGAGCTAAATCGGCTTTCTGGCGCACTTCGGCCTTCCAAAGTACCAACGAGTAACAGGAAGGCACCATGCACACAACAGCAACCGATGTCTAAGTTGTGAGTTATAAGCAAAGCACTTGCAGTTACAAGGCTCAAGTGGCATTCTTTCTTGCTAATAACCTGTACGCTGCTAAGAAACGAAACTAGTGTAGAGAGACACGGCTACCTCAAACGCTCGTAGGGAGAGTCCAAGCAATAAATGCGGTCGTGAGTTCTGAGCAAAGCACTTGCAGTTACAAGACTCAAGTGGCATTCTTTCTTGCTAATAACCTGTACGCTGCTAAGAAATAAAACTAGTGTAGAGAGACGGCTACCTCAAACGCTGGTAGTGAGAGTCCAAGCAATAAATGCCCTCTGAAGCCGACTTTCCTGCGATTTTCCAAAGATGGAGGGGGCGTCGAGCGCATGCTGGCTCACACAGTTTAAAAGCCATGCGCTACGCTTGTATATCCAATCGCAATATACAAATATGAACAAAACATCCCTATGTTTGTCTGCTTGCATTCCCCAGGGCTTTTACAGTTCACAGTGAAGCCAAGTGGAGCATAGCATGCTTGCACCAATGATGTACCAATACTACAACGCCAGAAACACAAAAAAACCATCTCTCTGCAGTGGAAATCATTGCAACAATTTCCGGTCTTGCTTCTTCTGCCCGCATTTGCAAGCGCAGTAGCGGATGAACTATTGACTGCTTTAATAATTAGAGCTTAAGAAGGGAACGTCTCCTCGGGTCGTCTCCCCTCCACAAATACAGCAGTAAAATCTAAAATGCAGAGAGCTAATAATGACGACCCACGCATTCGTCATAATGAACGCTCAGAGCTAAGAAATATGACGGAAACCCGAAGTTTCAAACTCATTATATGCACCACAAGCGCAGCCAGTACTCGCGAGTCCTGTCGGTGTAACTACCCGTCAGAGCTCATCAAAATCCTGAGTTTCTATAGTTTATTCAACTGCACTGCAGTACCAGCACGAAAAGCTGGCATGTGTTATCTCTTCTCACAACAAAGTGGTCTCACCTTAAGCCACATGCAGCTTCTATGAGTTGGAATACGAACACAAGACTTTCCACTTTGCAGCACGGAAGTAAACAGGGGATTCTTCTGCTCCGAGAAGCTCATCCTTGATCCTGGCTACTTCCTCGGCTGAAGGCGCCTCCCCCGACTTGTACTTGTGTAGTGCAGCAGATATTTCTTTCGCTAATTCAAGGTACTTGATGGCCTTCATAGATAAAACTGCTGACACTTTGTATGCATAATCTATGGGCACCACAGCTGCAAGCTGCGAGCACCACCTTTGCCAGTGCGTGTTTGAGCCCAGGCCTTTGGATATTGCGTGTAACGCATCAAACACTAAAAAGCGGCGGCCTAAACTTTCTAGGGCTCTAGACGGCTTCTGATAGTCAAGTGTTCGCGTCAGTCTGATACGTGCGTGATTTATCAAGGCTGCTGCGCATGTGACAAGCTCCTTAGCATCTTGATTCGAGATCTGTTGCTTGAGAAGAATGTTCCTCACAGTTAAAAGGTGCTCGAAGAAAAGCGAAGAACCTATTTGAGGGATCTCCCCGATATCAAATACAGCATTCTCAGAGCCACTTGGCGTAGTGAGCGCGCGTTCCCCAGGGCCACCTTGTGAATCCTTGTCGCGTGCAGCGCCGCTGCAGCCTGCATCGCTGTCCCCAGATGAAGCAGAACTGTGGTCTTCGCCAAAGCTCGGGGAACCGCTCTGTATAGGATTCGTTTCTCGCCCTCCCATACTTTGTTCAACTGGATTACTTCCTGCAAGCCACGCGGAGGGATTCTTGGCTAACGAATCTAGAAGAGATGCGATGTTTGCACGGGCCATTAGCGTATCCTGTGTAGGAGGTGGAGGCCGTACAGGAACTGGAGGTCGCTTGGAGGGCGCAGCACTGGGGAAAAATAGTAAACTCTGTTCATGTAAGTCCTGCGGTCCTACCGCCTGCATTGCTGGTTGCTGGCTTTGACCGTATCCTGCTTCGTAATACGTGACTGGCTGCTGTTGGCTTCCTGGCTGCAGGTGTGTCTGTGAGCTTAGTGCAGGAGGTGCCGAATATGCGGAATACTGTGTCGGTGTTTGGCCAAAGTCACTCTGAACGTCTCGAATTGTTATTTGTGCAACCATTGAACTTGTGCCCACGCCAGGAGTGCTGAGTGGATCCTGCTGCCCAGCTGGAGCTCCCCATTCACTGATATTGTGCGATGGAAACACTAGCCCTTGTCCGTAAACGCTTTGGCCTCCCGCTGATTCGGGAGGGCCGCGCGAGAGACCCGCAGAGGAGTTCATTCCAGACATGGAAGCACTCTCGGGTGGCAGCCCAGTTAGCGACTCGAAAACCTTATCCACAATTGCAGGCGATACTCGGCCCGATCCGTAAAAGCGTTCATCAGGCCTCCATTCCCCCACTTCACGGCAAAGGGCCGCCAGCTCGTCCGCATTGAGATCCATCCCTGCGCCACCCCTACTCGCAAGTCTTCGCTCCGTCAAACCACTTCCCGTCACATTCTGACCAATGCGGCTACACAGTGATACAACAATAAAAAGCCCTAGTACATAGGCAGGAAGCAGCCAAGTTAAGGGGTGTGGGGCTCTATTGTGCTTCCGCCGAGATTCGCTGCGCGCTGAGGGCACAGCACCGTCATTGAGTACTGCAGTAGAGGAAGAGTTACTCACATGTCCATCACTCAAATTTACTTGCTGGATCACAGGATCAAGTAATTCTGCCTGCTGAATTATGGGCGCATGGGCTTCGTGTTCTGCAGGGAGGACCGTCATGAGGTACTTGCACGGAGGACCTCCTGTTTCATATACCGGAAGCCTCTCCTGTGCGCTTAGAGTAGCTGCCACTCAACTAAAAAAACCAGAGCGCACTCTGCGCAAACGTCAGGCAGTCGTTCGTCAACTCGCTCATGGATCAACGCATGGTTCTGCCCCAGAATAATTCTGAAGGGGGAAAGACGTTGCAGCTACGTCACACTTCTTCATCTGCGGAGCAACAATATCCAAACATTAAAATATAAGAAACAACTTTACCCAGAAAAGGGCTTTTCAGAACGCTGTCCACTGACAGTGTCTCGACGCCGCGAGGCGCAGACTGTTCAGGACTTCGGACTGCCGGTATTGCTGCACCTTCAGTCTACAATGAACATCTGGAAATCGTGAACGTTCACAAGGTTGCCTTCTCTGTTTTGCCTATGAAAAAATTGCACTATTTTTATAAATTTCGCAGGGCAATGCCTTCGTAAGTAACTCCTGTTTGCTGCCCACCAATACTGATCCAGCTCACGATTTCTGGAGTCGATACGATTCCTTAAGACCTGTGACGCTATGCATGACTGACTGTTGTGTCTCCATTTTGCCATGAAGTAGCTGCACATCTGCAGGGCTAATAACTTGAAGTGGTGAAAGGCTCAAATTGTGCTGGCAACTCTGTGGAGGGGAAGTAACCGCAGGGGTAAGTGGACAAATGCGTTCCGTTGCTATCTTTCCGAGCCAAGGCGTGACTCCAAGCTGACTTCTTGGCCCAAACACGAACTCACACTTATTTTATTTTTTATTGTGTTTGTCGTGGCACCACTTTTGTCTTCCAAAGATCGCAACACGAGCTGCCAGTCGGAGGAACGTGTTCTGATTAGCAGACTTCATTCCAACGAAGCAACCGTAGGTTGGAAAGAAGTAGGAATGTACTCCTTGTCGTAACATTTTCACGAGATTGATCTCTGCGGTGTTTAGCAGTGAGCTGGACGCTCGGTACAGCAACGAGCAGCGAGTCGTAACTTGGCGAACGCGATGCAGGGGCGCAAAGAGCATGTTTACCTGGTGAGATATACGGAAATCTCGGAGAGACGGAGGCAGAGGACTCCTGCAGAGAAAGCAGGCTAATGTAAAGGGCATTGTGGGCTGTAATGCGCGCTGACTCTTCATTGTGGGGAAGGCAGCATCAAGCCATAGAGCGCAAGCGTTCGATTGCTGAGTCCTCTTCGCCATAGTATATGTAGACCCTATTGTATTCCTATTATTTTTGTGAGTTTGGGGCATCGCCAGACACTAGATATCTTTGCTGGCTCGGGTACTAGTGGACCGCTGGTCCCACGACGGCGCGAGTGTGTTGCGTCTACACAAACCACTGCTTTGCGACTCCGCCACTCAAAATGTTCGTTTACGTCTACATGTAGTAGAATGTTTTCATGAAAGCACATATGCGCCGACTGGGTGACGCTTTCCGCTCTCTCTGAGCAGTATTTGGGGTTACTAGTTTAGAGTTTAGGCAAGAAAGGCCGGGTCTGAAAAGTAAGCAGGCACAAGCACACCCGTTCAGCTATTTAGAAATCGCCATTCCACTGCCTGAAGCAGGATTTTATTGTTCTTCGTAATTCAGCAGAGCCTTCCTTTATGCATTCTGGTGCTTCCACCGAACTGCGCAAAGTACTTACCGTTGAGAGAACCCTCTACCTTGATTTGTCACGCACCATCGGAGCTAAATCGCCTTCCTGGCGCACTTCGGTCTCTCAAAGTGTTGACGAGGAACAGGAAGCCACCATGTACACAGCAGTTATCGTCCAAATCGTAAATTCCAAGCAAAGCACCTACAGTTGCACGACTCAGGTAGTATTCTTTCTTGCTAATAATCTGTACGCTGCTACGAAATTATTTACTAATATTACGACGCCAATAACACGAAAAACAATATCTCTGCAGTGGAAATCATTGCATCAATTTTCATTCTTGCTTCTTCTGCCCGCATTTGCAAGCACAGCAGCAGATTAGCTTTCGACTACCTTACAACTTCGAACTTAAGTAGGGAATGTCTCGTAAAACCCAAAATGCAGACGGCTAATAACGGCGGTCCACGCATCCGTCATAATAAACGTCAAGAACTAAGAAAGTGGAAACCCGAAGTTTCAAACTCATTGTATGCACCACAAGCGCAGCCAGTACTTGCGGGTCCTGTCAATCTATGTAGCTGTCAGAGTTCATCAAAATCCTGCGTTTCGATAGTTTATTCAACTGCACTGTAGTAACGGCACCAAAAGCTGGCATGTGCTATCTCTTCTCACAAGAAAGTGGTCTCACCTTCAGCTGCAAGCAACGTCAATGCGCTGTCTTATGAACTCAAGATTTTTCACTTCGCACCACGGAAGTAAAAAGGAGGCTCCTATGCACCGAGAAGCCCTTGCATCCTATGCACTGAGAAGCCCTCGCCCGTTTTCGGCTGCTTCCTGGGCCCTAAATGCCTCCCCCACCTTGTGTTTCTTGAATGCAGCAACCATTTGTCTCGCTCAATCAATGTACTTGTCGGCATGCACAGATAAAACTACTGCCAGGTTGTGATCTAACTCAGTTGGCACCACGGCTGGAAGCTGGAGTGCATGTTTGAGCCCAGGACACTGGATGCTATGTTTGACGAACCAAACGAAAAATTTACGACTCAGGTGTTTACAGGTTTCAGACGGCCTCCGATACTTACGTTTCCGCGTGAACGTGACGATTGCTTGATTTATCAAGGCTGGTGCTAGCCTAAACACCCTCTCCAGTACCGTGGTGTGGTTTTGTAAGAATGCCGCTCCAAATTTATATGTTCATCTTTACCAAGACTAGTTTAGTATTCTCATATAGATTTTTGCCTCAGCTCTAGGTTTGTTGACTCTTGTGAACAGATTGGGCACTGCCGCCTTGAACTGGAGGTGCGCATGTATGGTCCCAATTTCCATGTAAATCCTGCGGTTCCGCTTATGTGAACCCGTGCTCTATTAATATGTGCGTGACATCTTTAGTGGCTGTTGACTATATTTCTCAGCGGCACATTCACGTATCGGAGCCACCCAGATTTAAAAGCTTTCATGCCTTTTGACCTAAAACAGAAGCATTTGAACAAGCTACGTACACCAAATTACAAGGCCGGAAGCTCATATGTACTTAGCATGGCCTTACTTCTACTTCCGTGGAAGTGCAGTAGGAGAGAGACAAGAACGGCGTGAAGATACATGCTCTGCTCGTTGCTGAGCTTGGACGATGAGCCTCGGGAGCGTGGACACCGTCAGGGGTCCATCTTTCCCTCGACAATAAATTAAAATTTCCGCAAATGTTATGTTCAATATTGTGCTGCGTTACAGAGCCCTAGTACCGTTCGCGATTGGAGTGTTGCGCACTACAGGTAAGGAGGACAACCTTCACAGTGAACAGAGTCAACCCCACACCGCGGTGGCAGCCAACTCCCTAGTAAAGCCATCACAAAAAGTAAACTCAATAAACTGAGATATTCTTTTGGCCTATTCTAGTCAAGACAGTGGTAGGCTACATAAAACAACTTCGAATTGAGGGGTTGCTTAGTCTCAACTGATTGTCAGCGCAAGGTGGCTACAACAGAGCGTATACTGAGCTTCCTCTTTTGGATTCCTATCATACCTGTTCGAAGGGCTTATGTTGCACTGTGGCCAGAGAAATTTGACGCCAATTTGCATCGGGGAAGGCAAGCGGATCAAAGTTTCAGAGCGTTTTGCCGGAATGAATTCTGTGGATTCAGGGGTTCTGCTCCAGACGTCTTGAAGCACACTGACCATTCTTCCTACTCCACAAATTCCACGTCTTTTTTGTAAGCAATCCAAATACGCGACCTTATTGGCGTGCTATTTATTCGAAAATATTCGCGGGAAACGACACCCCTTCCACCATACCTGTTGTGGAAGGCTGAGCGCAAGCTGCTCCACCATCGAGCTTGTAGAAAGTCACTCACTTGTTTTGCCACAGAAATGAGTTGAATCCCCAATGCATGTGCGCCATAGATCTCTGGCACTTGGTGAGATGTACCGGCCTATGTAAATCCTGTCGTACAAGGCTACTTTGCTGAGTCGACAGGCAAATTACTGCGAAGTTGAGTTGTTCATCAGTATAATCGGATGGCCTTTGCATGTAGTCCGTACCGACGCCAGTTCGCGTCCGGTGGAGAGCAGCACGTGCATATCTGGAATTTCAGGGGTTCTGACACCAGTTTGGTTGACAACGAGGCGTATGTCTCTGGCAATGATGGACCCTGGATTAGGTTTGCCGGGTCTGGAGACCTTCAGAGCGGAGGTTTGTAACCAGACTCATACAAATACTGCGGACTCCCAAGCAGTCACGGGACTTGTTGAAGCTCCCTCATATGGCCCCGCAAACGAGGCGACGGATAGAAAATGTCTTCGCATCGGTAAATCACTTCGTTGCGGGCAGGCTTCCTGTGGATACACTTTGCTCGCTGCTCTGGCGTCGATAGCAGCACTTGTAACAATATTGTACGCATGTTTTCGCGTCTACAACAGGGCGAAAATGTGGCGAACGCAGCGCCGTCGTCTTTCCGACACCGAGTCCGACACCTCAGAAACATATATCTTTGGCCTCTGCGACTACTCTTCCGATGAAGGTACTTCGGTGGCTCCTGAAAGTTCTCAAGAGACATATGCACCGGCAAGTAAAAGGCCACGGATGGAAGGAGTGCAGCAGGTGGGACATACAACTGGTAGACCTCAGCAGCCACAAACGGCTATCCACGTGAGTGTGATCAAGTTTCAGCCCAGAAGTCAAGACCACAGCGAACCACAACGAATATCGCCACCTCACACTTTGGCCACACCATCACTCTCAGCACTCGTGCAGACTGAAATGCATCACCAACCAGTTGGTGGTCTATGGAGGCCGGCTTTTGCGCAGGAAGCTGCTTTAGGTCGTGGCGGAGGCGTGGGGCAGCAGGGTACTGTCCAGAGAGGGGCCACTATAGGAGTTCAGTCAGTTGGTGGTCTATGGAGGCCGGCTTTGGCGCAGGAATCTGCTTTACATCGTGGCGGAGGCGTGGGGCAGCAGGGTACTGTCCAGAGAGGGGCCACTATAGGAGTTCAGTCAGTTGGTGGTCTATGGAGGCCGGCTTTGGCGCAGGAATCTGCTTTACATCGTGGCGGAGGCGTGGGGCAGCAGGGTACTGTCCAGAGAGGGGCCACTATAGGAGTTCAGTCAGTTGGTGGTCTATGGAGGCCGGCTTTGGCGCAGGAATCTGCTTTACATCGTGGCGGAGGCGTGGGGCAGCAGGGTACTGTCCAGAGAGGGGCCACTATAGGAGTTCAGTCAGTTGGTGGTCTATGGAGGCCGGCTTTGGCGCAGGAATCTGCTTTACATCGTGGCGGAGGCGTGGGGCAGCAGGGTACTGTCCAGAGAGGGGCCACTATAGGAGTTCAGTCAGTTGGTGGTCTATGGAGGCCGGCTTTGGCGCAGGAAGCTGCTTTAGGTCGTGGCGGAGGCGTGGGGCAGCAGGGTACTGTCCAGAGAGGCGCCAATATAGGAGTTCAGTCAGTTGGTGGTCTATGGAGGCCGGCTTTGGCGCAGGAAGCTGCTTTAGGTCGTGGCGGAGGCGTGGGGCAGCAGGGTACTGTCCAGAGAGGCGCCAATATAGGTGTTCAGTCAGTTGGTGGTCTATGGAGGCCGGCTTTGGAGCAGGAAGCTGCTTTAGGTCGTGGCGAAGGTGTGGGGCAGCAGGGTACTGTTCAGAGAGAGGCCAATATAGAAGCTGAGTCAGTTAGTAGTGCATGGAGGCCGGCTTTGGCGCAGGACGCTGCTTTAGGTCGTGGCGAAGATGTGGGGCAGCAGGGTACTGACCAGAGAGGCGCCAATATAGGAGTTCAGTCAGTTGGTGGTCTATGGAGGCCGGCTTTGGAGCAGGAAGCTGCTTTAGGTCGTGGCGAAGATGTGGGGCAGCAGGGTACTGACCAGAGAGGCGCCAATATAGAAGTTCAGTCAGTTGGTGGTCTATGGAGGCCGGCTTTGGAGCAGGAAGCTGCTTTAGGACGTGGCGAAGGTGTGGGGCAGCAGGGTACTGACCAGAGAGGCGCCAATATAGGAGTTCAGTCAGTTGGTGGTCTATGGAGGCCGGCTTTGGAGCAGGAAGCTGCTTTAGGTCGTGGCGAAGGTGTGGGGCAGCAGGGTACTGACCAGAGAGAGGCCAATATAGAAGCTGAGTCAGTTAGTAGTGCATGGAGGCTGGCTTTGGAGCAGGAAGCTGCTTTAGGTCGTGGCGAAGGTGTGAGGCAGGCTGCCCGTCTTCCAGTGGCCGAGCCAATGGGACCTGGAAATACGCAGCGTCACATTTTCCTTTTCGATGCTCAGTCCGGTGTCCCGGTCAGTTTTCTCCCATCTGCTGGCACATCCGATTCTGACAGTGATGAAAGGAGCAGCACAGCAGGCACTCAGAATGCGCCTATTCTCGCATCTCTATTGACCCCCTCTGCTATACAAGAAGACTATCTTTCACACCCATTTGCCCGGCTGCCAGTTGTGCGCAGCCCTCGGGGTCATTTCTTTGTAGACTTTGAAACGGCATTGTTCACTGATAATGTTACCCAAAACCCCTTGCCATTGTTGCGCTTGGTACATGGCCTGCTGAGTCAACGAGAAATTGCCGGGGATCAGCTGGAGTTCCTAGCGACATTGGGAAGTAAGCTGGCGGCCCACGCCGTGAAGTTTCATAAGCAGACACTGAAGTACGCTACGGCATCCCGTGCATGCGAGAGATTGGGGGCCCGCTTCTTGGTTCTCGATGCAATTGTATCCACTGTTATAGTGCTGGAACAGAAGGTCTCTCTACAGTTGTGGAGAAATTTTGTTTCAAGTATAAACCACGAATACCCCCAGCCCCCTTCATCGCTGGCAAGCAGAGGACGGAGGCTCTTTCTTGCGAACTTCGCTCTGCTTCTAAGTAATGCGGTACAAACGCTAAAGATGGGATTTCGCCCTTCTGCTGAAGAACTTGTGCTTCTGAAGCGCATGCTATTCTGCGCACCGTACTCCCCTCCACGTTACAAAGTGGAAGGCTATGACGCATGGAGATTTAGTGAGCTTGTGCATCAGGGATCAACAGGCACTCCTGGTACACGATCGGCTGAAATGTTAAGTGCAGTGTCCAGTGGAGCCTCTTGTGACAACGCTTCAAGGCCTTGTCCTGGGACATCTGCCAGACTCATTGCTAGAGCTAGAGCTAAAACGCCTCCTAGGACCCTTGGTGAGAAATCTGGCTCCTCCGCAGGAAGCCCTGCAGGATCATCTAAACCTGCTGGAGCCTCTGCCAAACTCCCCGCGGGAACCGATATCAGCTTTTTATATGAAGTGCCTGTTCTGACTTTAAGTGGAGCCTCTAGGGAGCCCTTCTCCGGCGTATTTCCCAAAACTTCTGATGGGATGAGTCTGGAATCACGTAGTGGGAATGCCTTTCGTACAGTAAGGAGGCGCCATGAAGGTGTTGGAAAGCCACGTCTATCTGGACCCGCCGCTAGAATTGAATCACATTCTCCGGGGCCAGTTAGCTCCAGTGAGCACCTTCCTGGACCCTCCACTAGTGGAAGCTATTTGCCTCCTTTGGCCTCTGCCGAAACTTCCGCGGGAATTTCAAGTCTACCCGTTTCTGATGCAGCTTTCGCCTTACCTTTTACCTTTGCTGTACCTTTTGCTGGAATGCCTTCTGGAACGTCTTCTGGACCATCTGTTGGAGGGCCTCCCGAAGCGTCTCCTGGACTTTTTGCGTTGCCTGTTGTTGGTGGACATGTTGGTGGACATGTTGGTGGACATTTTCCAGTGCAGCAACCTACTGATTCTCTCACTGGACCGTCTGCCGCGCGCCTCACTGAACCAACTTTTGGATCTGCTGTTGGGTCTCCCGTATTTTATGCTCAAGCGCCTATGGGCGCATATGGTACGCCCGTTGCTCTTCCTGTCGGTTTCCCCTTTGGTGGGCAGATTGCTGGCCTTGAAGCTTTGGGAAGTATGCATACGAGAGCGTCTGTGGAGACTCATGGTAGCTCTGATGATGGCGCTTCTGGAAGCACTGAAACTGCTCGTATCTTTACTGAAGGAAGTACTCAGAGTGATTTTGATACCTCTTCTGGAATATCTGGTGGGGGATTCGCTGGAGCCTCTAAATCGCCAGCTTCCGACGAATAAAGGCCAGATCCTTTGCTTCCACCTCGCACCTATACTTAAAATGGAGCATCCACCAACAGCTGTACTAATTTCGTCAGGGCACCAGTAAAAGTCGCGCCATCAACGAGGTCATTTATCGGCATCGCGATGTGAAGAAGGCCGCAAAAGGTTGTGTATAGGCAAGACCTACAGTTCAGCGTAAACAATTCAGCATTTGCCGTCATTGTACTTGGCAGCAATTAAACTAATGAAAATTTTAGGCAGAGGCTAACCGGAATGGAAGAGTCAGTGTGCGTACTTTGGAAGAGGACGCGAGGGAGCAGCATGCGTTCTTTCTCTTCGTGTTCCTACATTTCAATCCGCGAGCTAAGTGGCTAGAAAGTCAGCCTCCTTGATTTGGATAGGCGTATTGCCTCTGGAACGGAGAAGGATCGATGGAACGATCAGTTAGTGAGGGTGCCGAGGTGACAACGAACTAACCAACAAGGCCCCGATTTGAAAGTAACTCGAACTACACGGGAGCACGGCTACAGATGAAGTCGGCAGCTTTCCTCTGTCCCTTCCCGGTTGTTAACGTAATTAGAGACTTTCAGAGTCCTGGATAGCTTGCGCTTGTGGCGCATGATTTTGGCATGCAGTCCAGCTGTACGTTTTGCGCCATTGGTTGTCAACGCGCTCGTGTTTCATTATTTCGAATGCATGTAGACGCCCTGTTTGTGCCATGGGTTTTCGCGTATTGCCACTCTCTGTGAGAAATGCGCAAGATTTTTGTGGCGAGTGGCCGCAGATTGCGTTTCGGGTATTTATTATGTAGATCTTCCGCTGATCTTACCAGCATGCAATGATGATAAGAACAGTTGCAAACAGAGATAGGCAGATGAATGGACAGAAAGGAAGGAGTGGACAACCAGACGCATTGAGGCGGCCTGAAGGACAGAGAGTTAAACAACAGGCAGTGGCGGAGCCGGAATTGTGTGAAGCAGCAGACATCTAAATAAGCAAAAGCAGCATACGGATAGGCAGACACACAGAGACGGGCAGACAAACAAAGATAGCCAGACAGAGGCTGGTTCATGCCACGACAGGTACGCGGAGACACGTAGAAACATAGACACAGTGAAAACAAGTTGAAGACTTACTTCTCTTAAGAAATACCTCACGAAAGCTCTGCGGGACGTCAGTTAAATAAGAACCAATACTTCGTTTTTGCGGAGATTCCACTGTTGTTTTGAAACACGCTTCTGCCCTACTTCGCTGCTACTCGGGGTCATAGGCACACAAATTGGAACCATGATTTGCGCAACGGATTAGAATGTTAGGAGCTGTTTTAAAGGCTGGGTGCCACTTTGCGCTGTATCTCCTTGTCAAGCTATTGTCAAGCTGTATATTGTGGAAATCTTCGCTTCCTACAGTCGATACGTTTTCCCTTTAGGTTCAGCTGTGAACGGGATCGACATTCAGCTGCTGTCCATGGATAGACTAGACCGGCAAGCTTTATGTAACCAACGTATCCGCAGGGCCAGCCGCTCATCAACGGTTGGGCTGATGGAACTTCGCGATGTACCAGTGTCGAGATTCCCCTTGCGCCTATTCTAAGAAGGCAAACACTGCTGCCATGCCAAAACTGTATGATGACCGTTCGCCCTCCTTCACTGTCTTCACAATCACCTGTTCAAGCCACTACGCCGGGGCGACTTCAAATTCTCCAACATTGGTATCGCCCTTGTCGTCCGAAACTCGGCTCTTTTCGCTGCTGGCGCCTCCAGTAGCTACCTGCCTTTCTTCTGGACATGGTCTTTCTTCCTTAGCTTACACCGTAGCATCACGTGAAGTCCCTACCAGGTGAGTTTCCCTTTCATGCCATGAAACAAGACTCAAATTCCAGCTAAGGGAGGACTCGATGGCGTTCGGCTCTATTGCTGCATTCGACAGTTGCTCCTTCTCACGTCGCTTGCGCCTAGTTTGTTGGCGTTTCATAGCTCGTAGGCTTGGCTGTTTAAACGTTACTGCTGCTGTCACCTCTTGGAAATGCAGCCAGGATGTAGTCTTCTGCCCTCGTCGCACCCTAGTTGCGGCTTCGGCGGTGCAGCATGACCTAAATCATTCAAGTTTGCTCGTCCGCAGCGTTTACAGCCCTTCGACAGCGGCGGGCGCAGTCGCTGCGTGAGGATCCTCGGCAGATGTTCCATTCTCTTGCACTCAAAGCACATAGAGCTACGCTCCGAGCTGGCTTTCTCTCTTCATAGGGTTTATAAAAGATCGCTTGCCCCCTAATGACCAGCCCACCTAGGCTGAGCGCCAAATCATTTCGCTGTCTCCTGTGTCTCTGCTCTAGCAGCCGACGGGTGTTCCAAGGCTCCCAGCTCAGCGACCACTTCTCTCCAGTTTTTAAAATTAAGTGTAGAACCCCTAGTTAGGGCCTTCCAGACGCCCAGTGGCAGGCTGTCCAAGAAGAAGTCCACTAGTTCCTTTGCTGGCAAACGCACACCCTATGGCACTGTCTTTGGCGAAGCTGGCAGAATAAAGGAGAGCTGGTGGTCTCCTCGCCACTGCTCAGAGTGGCGAGGAGACCACTTTTCTTAGTGGCGGATCATTGCCGACCAAAGTAAAGCACAAAAGAGATGGAGCACGCCGCTCACCATATGTGCGCTGCGTGTAATCTACCACATGTGCTATTTTTCCTCTTAGACAGACCCACTGTACCAAAGTATTAGCTTCCAAATATTCCCCAAATTCGTGTCCCCAATAACTTTGGTCTCTGCTGAGTTTTGTAGATCTTGCTTTATGCTTAGAAAGGCCTGCATTTTGTTTGCATTATCACAAATGGTTGGCTGCAAGACAGTGGTGCCTGTCCTTTCGGGCTCTTTTGCACCGCAAATTCCCTTACGAGAGCTACCATCCGATATAATATGGCTACCCCACCTGTGGTGCGGGTTCTCCTGGTTCGCCCATGGGTTACCTTCTGTGAGGGTGTGCTCGAGCCTTGGTGATCTGGAGTGATTGCTGCAAAAGCTACCGTCAGTCTTGCTTTAGCGGCTTCTTGGGCGCCAAATATTTGGGGGGATGCTGCGCCTTGTCCGCCTATTGCTCGCGCATTACGTGGGTGCCAACTAATGAGCTCTGATATGTTATGGAGCTGAAGTCACTAGAACATAGTGGAGTCAACTTGCTTTGGTAAGCATAGTTACAGTACATCACACTGGGCACATAGGTGCGTGCTTGCTTCTAAACGTCAAAGGCATAGAGTAACCCCCTGAACAACGCCTCGCCGATGTTTGCGTTCCCCTTTAGACAGCCCAACGAAACCCTCCATCACGAAACTCTCCTGTAATTGCAGAGCGTCTTTAAATTTAAAACGACGTTTATCTGTTGAAAATAATCGTAAATACATTAGTCCTTATGATGCAGTACTTTACTACCTCTGTGGCCCCGTGCAACATTGTAGCGCTGCGTGGACGTGCGCAGCATTGTAGTGCTGCGCACTACAATTCCCCGTTAGGAAGCTCTCGCTCCAGCTGAAGTCACGTTCCACGTCATCCCCGCTCGCGTTGTCCCTTGACACAGTGTTCTTACCACAGGAACCACAATCTTTTACAGTGGCCTGGTTAACCACTATGACGAAGAGTAAGGCTCCACTTTAACGTTATGCATCGATTTTGATTTGCCTACGGTTCCAGGCCTTCCGCCAACCTTGCTTCGCTGTAAGGTAAAAAACGGCGGAGCCAGATATTCCGAGTTCTGCAACCGCGAGCTCATGTTCTGTTTCTAGAGTGTGTGTTCCTACATCTCCACGCTCACACGCTTACCCTCAGCATGCGTGTTGATGTTACTCAGTCACGCAGTGTCTAGAAGTATTTCACACATTCTGCTCATTAGAGAGTTGCGGACGATACTAAGTAAAATCAGCAATGAAAAAAGGCCAGTCAAATGGAATCAGGCGACGTGACCTAGGACAAAGTGGGAATATTTTTGGAGGAAAAAAGTGTTTACACACAACCAACTTGAAGCGAAAAGGTTAATTTTAGACTCAGTAGGACGTATACACCTATAGGGGAGGAGTTAACGTACAAGCCAAGAGTCGGCGGCCGCTAAAGTGACGAGTGCCGTAGAGAAGATTGAAAGACATCGTTCTGCAAGACTAAAGCGGAAACTGCCACTGTGATGCACACAGAAGCATGCAAAAGCACACAGACAGCAACAAACACTCAGAATCAAGGGGACAAAGTTAGCGACCACAGAGGCTGCAGCCACCACAGCTACGATGGCAACATCCGGCATATAGGTGCAACGGGGGAAGGGATTCACACAGGCCAGGATAGACGTTAGAAACGGAATGGCAGGCAACTGCACAGAATATCGGGATAATTCAGGGGATGAAGAAGGTGGACGACGCAGCACCACAATTTTGCGCAAGAGCAACCTCCAGCGGCTGTTTACTCTGAACCGAAAGCAATACCAGCTAACTGCCATCACAACCGCCGCACACCACAAGAAGACACAATAAGTGAACCGTCTGCTCGGAGTACAAAAAAACAAATTAGAACCAAATTAACAAGCGGAATTAATAGGCAACTCAGTGGTGGAAATGCAATATGCAACACGAGCAGATATAACACAGCCATGTTCGACTACATGAAATACATGCCAAGAGAGTGAAGGGACTATGATCTAGTGTCATTATTGATATTTTGTTGTTATTCTGGAGCGGTCACCTTCACCTCCATGTCACTGCTGATTGTGCTGGTACCCCTCTCCCTGACCTAATTGCACACGGCTTGAAGCGTAATATGCAAAAAAAATCAGGTTTCTCTAATTAAAAACACTTAATAATGTATTTAATGAATGCAATACTAGGGCCTGCAACCTTTCGAAACTGCTTCGGCTTAGCATTGCAATGCCACGCACTATTCTACGATTCTACAAGCGAGCGCAAGGACCATGTCTGACTGTTCCACTTTTGAAGTATGCTTTGATTTTGCATTATTTTTGTCAGCTAAGTCAGATTTTCGGAATTCTTGTGGAAGACATTTTTGATCGGAAGGCGAGCCCGCTAGAGGGTCACGAACCAACTCGAAGAGAGCATAGATTTGAAAAGTCAGGATACCCGTA